AACCCACATTATTTTATGGTGCAGAATCAGTTCACTGGCGACTCAAAATTTAATTTAGTTTTACACGAGATTTTGATTCTTTTTTTTTTCCTTTATTTGTTTTCACCCATGGAAAGTCACTGTATGCAAAGATAAACATTGGTATGTTGCAAACTAAGTGCCAAATGGCATAAAGAATTTTGTAATAAAACTATTTAATATATTAGAAAACACATACAAACACTTCTGTAAAACTTCAAACTCCCCTCTGCTCAGTATTCCATTTAGGTCTCTGTTCCTGGCAAATGTGTTTCATGCCGAGTCTGGGTTGAAGAAACTGCTTAATGAATACCTTTCCTTGATCCGGTACTAATTTTTTATTAGAAACTTGTGCTGCCTCAGATGGTTCTCAGGTCCAGCCACCGCCATTAGCAACAGACCTGGAAACCCATTACTCAAGAGAAATGTGTAGTATTTACACCTTTACAGAAATGTCACATTTTTCACGGCGATAGGTGTCATTCTTGGAGCTCAAAGCCAAACTTAAAATGTGTACAAATACAATGTACCTAGGGAGGTGTGCCATCTGACTCCCACTGGCTGTACCACATGCCAGACATGATTTCCTGCAGGGGGTAGTACAGAGTTCTGGTTATTCAGCTAAAGGACTAAACAGATGTTGCATTTAAATAGGCTAATGTATTAACTTCAGTATCGTATGGTTTATATTTGTGAATGGGCCTGAGGTGCAGCAATAGTGAGGTTTCTTGCGGTGGTTTGGGTTGGTTTTTTTTCAGAGATGAAATGTGTGGCTCAACTTATTTGGTGTTGGTTTCCATTTGAGCCTAATAACGAACTCTCATTGAATGGATACATAGTTAAGTTTCCCATACAAAGTTCACTGAGTAAAGCAGAGCTCAACTGCTCAACCTTACTTTACTAGTAAAGTAGTACAACTTCAGTAAAAAACAATGTAAACCAAAAATGTTCTTGTGAAGAAATGCATTTTGCTCATAATGCCACTCTGCTCACTAGAACCTTGCAGGAAAGACTGCTTGCATCTAAGAACTCACCTGTACACCCTTGCCCATCCTGTAGATCCTGATACCCTTGGTAACAGAGGCAGCGGTAGGAGCCATCCATATTTTCACAGAAGCCGTGACTGCCACATGTTGTGCTGTTTGCACATTCATCAACATCTGCAAGGAAGAATTATAACATCAGACAAGGTGTGTGACAGGGGCAGACACGCGTGAAGAGGGCAAAAACCCAGCAGAGCCATTTTTGCAAAGAGATGCGGTTGTATCTCTCTGTACACTGGGAAGGAAAACGCAAAGGATGAGACAAAAATTTAATGTGAGCATACATACAATTTAAGAGATTGTTTCAGTGTTAACTTTGTACAAAACTTCAGGCAATGGTTTTGGTCAACTGTCTCCCATCTGTTTCACCAAACCTGCCAATCATGCCACAATGTTACATACCAGAATAATGCATAGTTTAAATATGACCATCTCTCTGACTGCCTTACAGATTCTGCCAGTGTAGCATTATACAGTCAACAACACGTGTGAAACTGGACCCACTGTGCCTACCAGAAGAGCTCAAGAGCATGGTTGCATCCGCTATGCAGAAGATTTCATTGTGCACAGATCTCATTCTGGGTCTCAGCACAGAAGAGAATTTCATGGTGCATGTGTGGCGGTGATTCTCTGTGCACTGTGCCTTTTGGCTTTAATCTTGTAAATTTACACAGATGAATAATCTTACTCAGGTAGGCAGAGCAATTACAGTGCCCCCATGCTTTCTGTACTGGCCCTTTCATTTATAGTTCCCATATGTGGTTTGCTGGCCTTACAAGTTAAGAGTCATCTGCTTGAGTAAGTCTGTTCTTTGACTCAACTGTACATCATCCTATAATGAAGCAGAGCTGCTTGTGGCAGAATCTGTAAGTTCTGCTTGTAAGGCAGATCCTGTAAGTTATAATACACCTGTAAGTGTATTATAAGTGCTAGGAATGTATTATTTTTATCTTCACTCCAAGTAAGACCTAAACCCAAGGCCATGACCATCTGTAGTCATTAAAGATATTGCGGTATGTTTTTCAGGAAGAACATTAACTGAAACTGGGGACCTGCCAGGATAGCAGAATTAGTATCTTCTGCCTTCTAAATTCCTCTGCAGTTTGAAGCAGAGAAATTACTGTTATATTTCTTCCCTAGAAGCTACTATGACTGTTAAGTAAGGCTGCTGTCTGCTTCGAATTGCCTTCTGTACTGTGCCTCAGGGATCATCTTCATTATAAACGGTGAATAAAGTGATTAGCTTTTGATTTATGATGCAGCCTGCCATTATTCTACCTCCAGTGAAGGCCTTTGGTACTCACTGAACTAAGAAGCTGGTGGGATCGAGTCCTGCACTGCCAGAGAGACAATTTCTTTGAACAGGGGAGCAGCGCTGCTGCTTAGTGTCTTTCTGAAAGGTGAGAGTAGGGCTCAAGCATAGTCCTGTCTGCTCCTCCAGCTTTTCACAGCTGTCTCAAAGGCCAAGAAAAGGCAGCAAAGATGCACCTCATTCTCCTCCTGACAGTGCTCACCAAGCTTGGGCATTTTAAATTGTATTTTATGCTCAGCTGAAAGGGAATTCTTGGTCTTTAAACCATGTGGTCAGCAGGTCCCCAAGCTAACCAAGTATTAGCAACATGGCATTACCATCCACACAGGTTACCTGTTGTGCTGCCCTCTTGCTCCCCAAGTGCTCAAATTCATTCACATATGCTCTGCCTGCCTCAGGAAGAAGCTTTTTTGGGTCTTGAAAAACAGCTTTTCTTATGAGCTGTGGCTGGGGTCTGAAGGTCTGAACAGTTTAGAATCCAATCCAGCTAGGCCAGAAGAGACTACGCACAACCTCTTGCTGCTGTGCACTATACCTGTGTAACATATTTTAGTATTTAATCTTGTGATCCTCAGAGTTTCACATATCTGGTCAAAAAATGTGAATACTCTCTCTTATTCCCTGTTAAGAAAAGCGAAGTAATTCAAAATGAGTGAACAGCGGTGGATTGACATAGAGGAATTTAAGACAACAGGGATTAATACAGTGTTTGTATTTTCAGTGTCCAGCTATAGTTTAACAACAAAAGCTCCTGAGCCATGAGACAGTTACTCTGTTAAAAGCCTAGAGAGAAGGAACTACAACTGGGGATTTTAGAATTACCTAAATTACAGTATTTCTCTTCCTTAGTAGCTAAATGTTGAAGGAAACAGATAGGGGAATGGATCATGCAGCTGGTTCTCCAAAGGTAAATTAAGGTCATTGACTAAAAAGCTGCAGAAACAAAACTTGTGATTGCAGCAAGTGTCCTAATTTAGTATATAATATAGCCACAGAAGACAGTTTGGTTTTTCCAAAGTACACAGTCTGAACATGACTGGATCTTTTGGTGCATGGGAAATTACAGAGAAGGTCCAAGCCCCAAATATTTTCCCTTATCTAGACAGCTTGCTCAAAGGACTCCTATTTTATAGCCAGAAAGGGCATTTGTTTCTTTAATCATCCTGTAGAGCAAGAGGCTTGTAATCAGCAATTCTGTTGCTACAGGGAGAAAAACTAAATATGAAACTAATAAATCCTGTGTCTATATAGTGACTAAAGCAGTTCTCTGTAATTAGAACCTGGTTTAGAATCCATGACTCAGTGCTGCTTGCTTTAATCAAAACTCCTTTGATCTAACATCATCAGGTTCTAAAGAAAGGCAAAACGTGTGTGCTCAAGCGCACTCCTGTTCAGCTCAACACTGTGCTCCTGTTTTCTGCCAAACTGAACAAGATGAAGGCATGCCTAACCCCAGGTGTGATTTAAATCTCACTGAAATCTACTTACATGGCAAAGTGGCTGGAAGAGGAAGTGTTTTCTAGAACAGTTCTATAAAGTGCTTAGGGGACAGAGGTCTGATTCTGAGACTTCCAGGGCTGCCCATAACATCCATACATAAAAATCACATAATGATAAAATCATAAAAATATGCATTTGAATAAAGACTTCGGTCATCTAGAGGCAAAAATGCTGGATGGTCATTCCAACGTTACCATGATGCGGGTAAGAAAGAGATTCTTGTTTTTCCCTTTGTGGTCTTACTTCTCTAGCCAGCATCCAGGTAAGTAGTAGTGGATGCCCTAAAACATCTCTGTCACCAACTATGAGAAGGCTGGTGAAGTCTGTGATTACCCACTGGGAAATAAGAAGGTAGCTCAGACGGGCCACTGGAGATGTATACTTGAATCTATGTTTGACAGGATCCTGAGCTTTCTTACTTACACATTTAACCAGAGATTTAGTGAAGCTGTGAAGTTGTCTACTGCATAAAATTTACTCCATGTGACAGATAATACTCTGCCCCAAGAGCAGTCCTAGATTTACCATATGGTTTTCTTAGTTGCCTTGTCTTCCCTATATACAGGCAAGTTATGGTTCTGACACGCAGTTACAGCAAACATTTATTATCTTAAAATGCCTGTGGTGGCAGAGGTAACAGTTATGCACTGTTCGCAGCTCTGCTCTTTGTGCCGCCAGTTTTCAGACTACTTACGTATGCAGACATCTTAAGCAATGGACAATGTAGCATCTTTGTGTACAGATTTGTACGTTACTCTTTGATCACAGAATGATTTGTGAATGCCCCATGCAAGTATCCAAAAGGCTCAGACATGTTGACTTATTCAGTGGACTAGTATAGGATGGCAGGATACAAGACAGCAAGTGAGGGGAAAGGAAGAAGCAGAGGTTGGAGAGATCTGGTGGGATGTGCAAGTTATTTTGGCATACCTGTTGAGGTAGGCAGTGAAGCCTTGGTCTTGGAGCAGAGAGAGGGAAAAGTGAGAGAGCCACTGAGACACGTATGGGATTGGACATGGAGACAGAGAAGGCGCTTGGGGCAGGGTACTGACTTAAGCGCCAGAGAACTTGAGTTTTTGCCAACCCAGTTGACTAGCAGCCAACTGGGTAAAATGCTGCCTTTACAGGAGCACCAGAGAGATCAACAGGGAGCAAATGAGTGCTCCAAGAACCTCCTTTTCAGAGATTCTGGTGCAGCCAAATTGCTGAGCCTGGGGCCAGGTGGCAGTGGAACGTCACTGCCGCAATAGAAGTTTGTCTACACCTTGGAAGAAGACAGTCTCCACAGCTGTTCAGTTTACTTTGGCCAATGGACACAAAAACTCCATGCCAGAACTGAACCACATGGGGTTCTTGAATGTTTTATGTTGCTGTTGTTTCTGACTTTTAAAAAAAAATGAGTCAAGCTCATACAAAACAAGTCTGGAGATACGGAAAATCTGCTCTCCAGGTACAAAGAGGCATGTGAATCCAGCAGAATTTCCTCAGGTTCTTTCTCTGATGGTATAAACAGTTAATCTCACTCACTTAACTAGAAGTAAATTCACAGAGGCACCCAGTGTAAAGAACAGTAGCTCCTGTGGCTGGAAGTCACATCTTAGTACCTGGAATGTCATACGCTCCTTTTGTTTCTGTTCCTTTTGTTTCATCTTGCCTTTCACGTGAAGCAGACACCACTACAAACACTAACAATGATGCCACCAGTGCTCCCTCAAAGTGAGTTTTTTCAACTCTAGAATTGTTTTTATTAAAATGACAGAATGGAGAAACTAACTGGTAGTTTCAGAACTGCTTCTGCTGTTTCAGAAGACTAGGAGTACCCTTGCTTCGCCAAGTTATTAAAATACTTTTCCAAGTGCTGAATATAAAGTCTGATCTGTATTCCATACACACCGCTGATTACTTGTGAAGCATGCTCAACTGGTTTTGTACTTGTTGTTTGATTCTTCATTAAAATGTTCCAAAACTATTCACAATTCTGGAAATAAGATCTTTTGATTTCATCTTTTTCTATTTCGTAAAAGCTTGGGCTTTTTGTCCTAATGGAGATATAGAGATTAACTTCATACTAACCCTTTCCTTAGAACTGGGCTACTTTATCCAGACAGGGGGGCTCATTTTTTCTGGTACATCCCTCCCAGACTTAGATGCCACTGACTTTTTTTTTTAAAGCTGTGTTTCTATTCAGTTCTGCCTTCTTTAATTTCTGAGAGTTTGATTTCACAAGGTTAGTAAGTGTTCTTATAACTTCGGTTTGGAATAAAGTGTTTGGTTTCTACTAAAGCAGGCTGCATTCTTCTCTGACCACTTTTTTTTAGCTATGCTCAGCAGTGAAGCAAAGCACCTGCTACTACTTTTCTTGTGGAGAAACTGAAGATATTTGGCCATATCCTTCCTTAACATTGGGTGAAATATGAACATTGGTACATGCTGCCAAAAGAGTCCTTTAAAATGCTTTGGAATTATCTTCATTACTTGAAATCACAAAATACTGTCTTGTCCATCAATCGCTGGAGTTATTCAGATTCACTCTCTTCAGCCTACTTGACCAGGCTTTTGTCTTGGCAGTAAGAGTGTCTCTTTCGACTTATGCCATGATTACAAAATAAAGTAAATGTTTAGAGAAGGAAAAGCACTAAAAATACTGTGGAATTCTTTCTGGTTATCAATAATAACTAAACCACAAAGAGTGTGTGTGATGTCATACTATACCTAAATATACAGCACTTACTCCCCTTACATCAGCATAACAGTACTCCTACCAGCAGTGTATTTCATTTCATTAGCTGTTATATCACTAACTATAGCATGTAGCAGGTTATAGTTAACCTATATAGTTATATACTAACTATGGCATGTAGCAGGTTATATGCCTGCTCAGATAATAATGCCATAATGCTTATTACCCCCTGGTAAAAGTAGGGGGAGTAGAGCAACAGTCAGAAGTTTCAACACACCGCCACCGCTGAAGGAAGAACCTTTTCACTGTCTCTAAGTGAACTATAAGAAGAGCTGGGCCATGAAAACAAATTAAATATGGATCTATTGGCCTATAATCTGGGACAGAGAACAATTTGCTTAATTCTTGGATGCTAGGGATCCACTAGCTGTAGGTTGTAACAGTGAGCTATGATCTGCTCAGTGCTTCTCCTCTACATGCATTCTGCCGAACTACTAGCATGATTTTTTTTCCCCTTCTGAACTTTTCCCACAAGGCTTCTTGCCTTGAACAGCCCTCTCATCCATGAGAACAGCCATTCATCATCCAGAATGTAAATGAGGGGAAGTAGAAAGTAAACGAGGGGAGTTTTTGTTTTCTGCCAGCATCACTGACTACACAAAACTGCGTTATCTTCTTGGTATCATTGAGCACCAGTCTCCTTTTTTAAATTCAGTGTAGAAGAGCAGCATCACCTCAAGTGCGTGCATGCCATTAACTGGCTTTAGACCTGTAAAGATCTGATTACTGGTATTATTTACTCCATTTCTGCCATTTCAAGAAGGTCTTACCCACTGAACCTCATCAGAAGCGTGAGTTCCAAACTCACTTTACATGCATTTTATATATAGCAAAGATGCGAGAAATAAATATAAGACAGAAATAATTTCTCATCTATGAAGGTATTTTCACATTATTGCAGATGTCTACTGCTTTCATATATCTTAACATCAGAATGTCATTCCCTTCTTTGCCACAGTTAGGTCAGCATTCATTGTGTAATCTACTATTAAGACAACAAAATTATTAGAAATCAAGAAAAGTAAAATACAGCTCGTAACAAACATTAACTCCATTATGTTGCCCATTTCGTACATTTCCTGTTACACTTCTTAAGATTCAAACAGCAGTATAACATACCAGGCACTTACAAGAAAAAGCACAAAGGACCTTAGATGGCAGACTGCAGAGTTAATAGTGGATTTGGGGTATCAGACCCAAAATGACCACTTTTCTCGCCCAAGTAATAACAGCAAATCAATAGGAATCCATTATTGTAACTTGCCTCACCTTCACATCTTCGGTGATCTGCAGATACAGAAAAGCCCCTCTCACATATGCACTGGTAGGAACCATCTGTGTTTAGACACTCCCCATGAGGTGTGCAAAGGTCAGATCTCTCACATTCATTGATATCTGAAAACAGACATATTAATTGCTTTGCAAATCATAATATCCTTAATATTCAGCCTAAGTTCCATTAGTCTTAAAAGCAGCTTTGAATTCCACCAGCTGCAGCTATGCAAACAGCTATGTAAATGGGGCTCATTTTCCAGAGTAACCAAATCTTCTGGGATCGTTCTTAAGCTCTGTATAGGCATCAGTATGTTCTGCTGCATCATACTCTCCCTGCATCACTCTCTGTGATGATGAGCAGATGAGAGTGGTTTGTGAGTTATCAGTACAAGCTCTGTACTAGCCAACATTTCTTCTGTGTTCAGGGAATTCTCAGACTGCTCCACCTCATTGCTTTCTGACTGCTGCATGCTGGTCAGCTTGTGCATCTGGATCCATGCATTACCAGCAGGTCTAGACTTGCATCTTTCCCAGTAGGCTGATTTTGTATAATTTCAAGCCAAACGCTGATGGGGAGTGGGAATGTTCCCAAAAGGTTGCTATACAAGAGCCTGTCATCATTGCTTTTTTTTGGTTGTGGTTTGTTTTTGTTTTTCTTTTTTTAACACAGAAAGCACTTTTCAAACACTGCCTTTCAAACTTGTGAATTTAAACCCCAAGCACTGCTTTCTAACCGATCTCTCATCTTAACAACAAAACCTGCCATCAGTGCTTAAGGACTGCATTTAATCATTAAGGAGGTAGTGCTTTCACATGAATTACCATTCACATTGTAATTGCACTTTTGTATTTTGCTTTACAAAAAGCTATTAAGAAGTTTTCAACACCATGCTGAGATCAAACACGAAGTTACAAACAAAACTTACACATGTGGCTCATCCATCCATCACAGATACTAGAATTTCTTATTCTTAACTGTGTCTTTTGTTGCTTAGGTTCTGGCCATTGTTACAGCCATACAAAACACATCACAGTAGGCAGTATTTTCACAGACTGGAGAAATCATGATTTCAATACCATCATTTCAAGACCCATGACACCCATTACAGAGTTCTCTTTAGATGCAGACTGATTTTGTCCTGTGTGTAAACTTTCCAGGCCAGTGTCCTGAAGTCATGGCACATGTGGAAAGAACAGAGGCAGCTCGGGGGAAGGGTACTATCTGTGGGAGGTGCACAGGGAAAAGTCAGTGCACTGTGCTTCATACAAGACCTACATGTATAGTTTTCTCTGAATTCACAGTAAATGCAGACCAGTGGGATGCTTCCTGAAAATCTCTGACAGTCAGGTGAGGTGGCAGACCAGTGAGAAGGACAGTACAGTGCTTTCTAGGACCCACCCTGTTCTCAAGACTAAGCTGTCAGGTTCTTCCAGCTGCCAAACCAGCTGGTTACACAAGGTAGACTGATGTATTAAAAGATAAGAAAATTAACAATGTTAGGGCAATGGAGTATAATTTATCTGAAAGAGCAAACTGCTCCCTTTCTAATGTTTTGGACTCTTGCAGATTTGCTTCTTACCAAAACATGTTTCTAATTCCTATCACTAGTCCAGATTCAACTTGCAGACACTGCATTCTGTGATAACTTTGCCAGTTCAATTTAATAGCGTTCTACTTTCTGTTACTGTTTCCTTTGAATATAATACGGCTATGCTCACGTCACCTCTCTTTTTTTTTCTTTTTTAATTTTGTACAACAAAAAACCCCGGTTTAAAAGCATTCAATCCATTCCCCTCCCCTGGCCATCAGTTTTGTTGGGTTCATCTCTGACTGCTCAGCCTCCATTTTGAACTGTGGGCACCAGAATGTCAGTGTACTGTGTGTACAATGTGCTAAGAGCAGTGGTATCAGTGCAAACTAGAGGGAAAAAAACCTGGCTTACTCCTGCTGCATATTCTGATTTACCAGTCTTCTGGGGAGTGCGTTAGTCCTACTGGCCATAGGGTTGCACTGGAAGCTCACATTCAGCTGAGTGTTGCTGACCCCTAAATCCTTCTCAGTAACCGTGTCCCATAAGGAAGACCATTATCCTACAAGCATGACTGAGATCCCTTTTTCAATATAGATACAGATATTTTGAAACACATATTGTTTGCTCACTTGGCCCTAGTGGCCTGTTATCTGGATCTCTTGCCATCTATTTCGTATCTCCAGGTAAGTTTTCTCAAAAAATGTTACGTGTTTTTTTTTTCTTGCTATTACAGAACCCTGACAGAACCAACTTTCAGTCATTTCAAATTGTCTCATTCTAGCTGACATTTAAATTATTTGGAAAGTACTGTTGAAATGTAAAGAAGTTATCATGTACGATACAAGTATGGCTACCCTTGTCCAGTGAAAAGTACAGAACAAGAAAATATACTGAAGACACCCATCCTTGACAAACAAAAATCCCACTATTGCATCCTGTAAGAGCTTAACTAGTTCTCAGCCCAGTAAAAAAAGTCTAACCATGCTCAATTCTGCTAGCCAAAGATCCCCCTTTATTGCTCTTTCACTGCATCCAATTCTTTGCTATTCTAACATGTCAGTATTCATTGTATCAGCTCCTTGTTTCTTCCATTTGTTTTGATGTTGATCTGGCTATTTCTCCAGCAGTCTCACTCCCCTTTACAGCAAGTTATTTCTCAGGGTTGGTGGTTTTCTTTCTCAAGTGTGGTGCTCTTACCTGAAATGGATTTTTAATTTTCATTCATACTTTTCTGTTAAAAATACTGTCAATACTGTCTGTCCCTTGGCTGGCTTATAAGTACTTCCTGTTTTGCTATATTTATCCACTTAAAAATGAAGCCTATATACTACTACTTTATACAGTGAAGAGAATAGAGTATCAA